TTTGATTTTGCCCTTTTAAAGTGTTCTATTTCTTGTCAAATCATTGCTTGGGATTTTTTGTGATATAGTTATTACTTTTACTAAATCTGATATTTATTAACACTGCTAAAAGGTTCTGAGCATATTTACTGCTTCCTCTAACCTTTGACCACTTGACATCTTTGGACTCTTATGGCATCGGTTCATGGATATCAGCTTTCTTTCCTATTGTTGGCGCTACTGTGTATGTTATCAAAAAGCTAAAGCCAACAGTTGTCATTAAATGAATCCGGGTAAGTGGAACTGTCCCTAATCCCAATGACCTTATCTACTTTGTTTATAAAATGTGGACGTCATTCATGTTATGTCTGTTGCTGTTATTACGTTGAATATACCTTGATGGCCAACAAACTTGAGCAAACCAATTATTGTGCAATGTTTAAAATGTTTCAACTTTGCTGAGTTGTCCAAACACACAGGCTGTTTATTTTTTAATTCTGCAGTTAGTTGGTTCTTCATATTGGAAGGAATGATGATCCTTTGCCATCCTTTAATCCTGTGTCAAAGTAAAATATTTACAAGGCAGCTAGTTTTCTCAATTGTGGCTCTGCAAGGGCACGTGTAACTTCCAACTCTGTCACACAGTTAATTTATTCCTGACTTTTCAACAGTTACAATTTGTGGTCGCAGACTGTCACCTTTTTTTTAGAAACTGAAGGCAACATAATAACCACCACTTGCTTTAGAACTGGATTATAAATTGCAAGTGCATGTATCATAAGTAGTTGCAGCCAACTTTACAGGAACAGAGGACGGAATCTTATGACATTTTGGCTAAGTTTCAATTTTGTCAAGTTTAAGGGAGGGCTCTCTCAGTTACGCCTTGTGAGACTTTGTGCCATATCATCTCATTATCTATATACCACATCACCATGGTGCTCCTCTTGTTAGATGTCAGCCCGGTTTTACCAGTCACCATAGCCAGAAGAACTCAGGACTCACTGAATGTCCTGGAATGGACCAGCATCACTGGCGCCAATGTCATCTTAAAATGCCAGCCAAACATCTAGCCATGCATTCGCATTGTGGAACAAAAACAAAGTTGCTGGAAAAGTTCAGCCGGTCTGGCAGCATCTGTGAAGGAAAAAACAGACTTAATGTTTAGGGTCCGGTGACCCTTCCTCAGAACAGAAAGGGTCACCGTACCTGAAACGTTAACTCTGTTTTTTCCTTCACAGATGCTGCCAGACCTGCTGAGCTTTTCCAGCAACTTTGTTTTTGTTCCTGATTTACAGCATCCGCAGTTCTTTGGTTTTTTTTTTCCTTTTTTTTTAACCTGTGGGACATGGTCATCATTGGCTGCTAGCATTTAGGCCCTAATGATCCTTGAGAAGGTGATGGTGAGCTGGGCATAATATTTTCTGGATAACTATTAGGCTTACATGAGTCTGAACACTTAGAGGTTTCTGACTTTAAGGTGCTTTTTTGGAGGATTCTAGATGCAAGTGAATTAACAGTCAGAATTTTTATCCTAGGCCATCCCCTCAGAGACAGCTCCATTCAGAATTCCACATGTTCCCAAAGCACTATTCCAGTATGCATTCCAAAACAAATGACTGTCTGGCCTTTAGAATATCTGGGCTATTGCAGATAGTTGGGATCTTAGTACCGATCCCAATGGCAGTGATACTGCAGCTGGATCTGTAGGTTGACAAATCCCCAGGTTCTGATCAACTTGATCCTAAGGTATTAAAAGAAGGGGCTTGTGAAGTAGCTGATCTATTGGTTTTAATTTTCCAAAATGCCCTTGATATAGGGAAGGTGCCACTAAATTGGAAGATAGCAAATACAACTCCTTTATTCAAAAAGGATTGAATAAATTGGGTTTTGCTGAAAACCTGACAGCGTTGTGACCATGTATTGAAACCACATTTTTATTCCCATGTTTTGAAACTGCATTTAAGTTCTCAAACAAATTGGAGTTAAATTTACATTTCTAGATTGCCTGGCCTTTGAATTATTAATCTATTAATATAAGCATTCCAAGTAAGTAGTTCTGTTAAATGGTTGCACTTTCATATTGAAAATAACATAGGAGCATAGGACAAGACTTAAACAATTCAACTCACTCTACCATTTTAGTCAGATATGATTGTTCTGTACTTCAACACAATTTTCTCATCTTTGGCCGATATCTTTCAACACCACTGTCTTTCTATTGTTTTATTCAAACGCTCATTTCTGACTTAGAAGCCACAGACTTTCAGCAGATTGGTTCATGTTTATGTACTACAAAGTACTGCAATGTTTTGCCATTGTCTTCTGCAGGATAGCTGATCAGTATACTCTTCTGCTCTCAGGCTTATTGGAAGGATTTGCAGTCTATTAATCAAATCATTTTGCCCACATTATGATTGCATCTTCTGTGGACAAGTCCTGACATAGGAGTCAAACCAGGAGGACTTGACCCAGAGGTAGGGACACTAACACTGTACTACAAGACCTGTTTGTCTTGAGATCCTTAATAACAAATATCTACCAAATATCTACACAAGGACAAGTTGGTTTTATTAATTATGATGATCTTATTTCTAAAATTTGCTTCAATGGTCTTTCCTGGTAACTTATTCTTGAGTAGCCTTATTCAATTATGTTCACAATTTGATTTCAAATCATTCTAATAACATCATGTGGCAGGGCCAGTAGGATGACATTTTTTTCTTAACATTATAAGATAATGCTGTTGGCTTGAAATATCCAACAGCCTGATATGGTCATACTCATGGAATTATACCTGACAGACAATGTCACTTAGACCACCATCACCACCCCCAGGTATGACCTGTCCCACCAGCAGGGCAGACCGAGCAGGACAGGTGGTGATGGAATGGTATACTGTCCTCAGCATTGTCTCCATGAAGTCTCATGGCATCAGGTCAAACATGGGCAGAGAAACCTCCTGCTGATTACCACATACTGCCTACCTCTCTCGGCTGATGAATTGGAACTCCGTGAAGAACTGTTCTTGAAGGAAGCACTGAGGGTGGCAAAGAGCAGAATATTGCTGAGTGGGGGACTTCAATATCCATTCCTTGGAGTGGTTTGGCAGCACCACTGCTGACTGAGTTGTTTGGCACTATCACCGTGTTAAGTAGCACAGACTTCGAATAGATCCAGCAACTCAAGACTTGCATCCATGAGGCACTGTGGGTCAAATTGCTGGAATTGCTTCCCAAATGGCATTGTACATCTACCTCCAGCAGCAGCTCAACAAGGCAGCTCACCACCAGCACCTGAAGGGCAACTAGAGATGGGCAACAAATGCTGGCCCAGCCAATGACACCTACATCCTATGAGAGAATATAAACATCTCGTTCTCTTCTATATAAAGCTAGAAAATTTTTTGCCGGTTGTCATAATAAGTTCCTATTTATATACTGAAGAATTCTTCAGAACTATAATCTCATTTCACATTCGAAAGACTGCAACGTGGTTTGATGAAATGACAACAATTTTAAAACATCTTTTTGTTGGAATATAGGCATTGCTATCTGGGCCAACATTCATTGTCCGCCTCTAATTGCCCTTGAGAAGGTGGTGATGATCTGCTTTCTTAAACCACTGCAGTCTATTTGTCCAGTTCTGGTCTCCCTGCTATAGGAAAGATGTTGTTAAACTTGAAAGGGTGCAGAAAAGATTTACAAGGATGTTGCTGGGGCTGAAGAGTTTGAGCAATAGAGAGAGGCTGAATAGGCTGGGGTTCTTTTCCCTGGAAGGTTAGAGGCTGAGGGATGACCTTATAGGGGTTTATAAAATCATTTACGGGCATCCAAAACTAGAAGACACAGGTTTAAGCTGAGAGGGGAAGATATATAAGGGACCTAAGCAGCGACTTTTTTCACGCAGAGGGTGGTGTGTATATGGAATGAGCTGCCAGAGGAAGTGGTGGAGGCTGATACAGTTACAACATTTAAAAGGCACCTGGATGGTTACATGAAAAGGAAGTGTTTAGAAGAATATGGGCCAAATGCTTGCAAATGGGACTAGATTAATTTAGGATATGTGGTCGGCATGGACGAGTTGGACAGAAGGGTCTGTTTTTGTGCTGTGAAACGCCATGACTCTATGCTGTAGGTAGACTTGTTGCAATTTTATGATCTTTGACAATAATATGCTGTCTGCCAGAATTGTAGAGTTTGCTACAATTTTAAAAGAAAAAGAATAAAAGCAGAACATGTTGCAATTAACATGTCCGGAGCATCTACAGAGAGAGGAAAACAAAGTTAACATTAAAGTCGAAAACCTTTCAGCGGTATGTTGAATATTTCAAATAGTTCCAATGTTTTATTCTTGGACATGTTGCATGGCTCTAAATTTGAATAAATTGTAGTGCAGGAGTAGCTTGATATTTGTCTGAATTGGCGTTTTGCACTTTAATGGCTGAGATTTGAACTCTCTGCTGTAGGGGATCACAACCAGATTTCTGCTCCTGCATGGCACAGAACACTGAGGTGGCAATGTGCCAGCTGACTTCTCCCGGTCACATTTTCTCCGATGTTCTGAATGAAGATGTCAATGAAACCCTGTGCTTTTAAAGCCACCATTGCCTTTAAATTTGCATCATGCTTGTTACAAAAAGTGAACAAAAGTTTCATGTCCATTTACAGTTCTTGGATCATTAACATCCACACTGCTGCAACACACATCCTGGAAGTTAGCCAAGGAAAAATGTTAATGGTGTTCAACGACTGAGAATATATGGAATGGAGGGAGAGTGGCTAAAATTCAAATTAGTGTTTCGATTTGAATGAAAGGTAAAATCCTTCACAAGAATTGTTTGAGAAAATTGAAGAACATGTAAAAAATGAAAGACAGAGCATCCACATTTCACCTTTTATGATTTCAGGATATTCGAAAGCTGTTGACCATGAATTCAATACTTTTTGAAGTGAAATATTTATTATAGTATAGGAAAAATGACAGGTAATTTTGCACACAAATAACACCCCCAAAAACGAAGATAACTAGATAATCTGTTTTATGATATTGATTGAGGAATAAATATTGAAGGGGACACCAGGGCTAACTCCTCTTCTCCTCAAATACTGCCATAGGATCTTCTGTACCCACCTTAGAAAACAGGCAGTACATCAATTAATAAACTAGAATCTCTCCAGTCCAGTAACCTATTGTTCAGAAGTGTCAGTTATGCAGAAATTCTTTAAACCAGCTCAAATAATTCACGGCATAATTTTAATATGGTACTTTGGGATTAGAAGCATAGAAACAACAGCATTTGAATAAATGAAATGATTCTTATAACTGTTTTATCGTAGCAATAGGATTCAAATACAGGAACAGGGGATTCTTGTTACAGTCATACAGGGCACTGGAGAATTGAGACAACAAGGTGCGGAGCTGGATGAACACAACGGGCCAAGCAGCATCACAGGAGCAGGAAGGCTGACGTTTTGGGCCTAGACCCTTCATCAGAAATGGGGGAGGGGAAGGGGGGTTCTGAAATAAATAGGGAGAGAGGGGGGAGGCGGATAGAAGATGGATAGAGGAGAAGAGAGGTGGAGAGGAAACAGACAGGTCAAAGAGGCGGGGATGGAGCCAGTAAAGGTGAGTGTAGGTGGGGAGGTAGGGAGGGGATAGGTCAGTCCAGGGAAGACGGACAGGTCAAGGGGGCAGGATGAGGTTAGTAGGTAGGAAATGGAGATGCAGCTTGAGGTGGGAGGAGGGGATAGGTGGGAGGAAGAACAGGTTAGGGAGGCGGGAATGAGCTGCTCTGGTTTTGGGATGCGGCAAAGGAGGGAGCTGAGTTTGTCCTGTTGGTGGCGGTGTTGGAGGAAGGAGGTGAGAGTGTGTTCCTGGTGGTGTTGGAGGCAGGCGAGTGTGTGTTCCTGGTGGTGGTGGAGGGAGGTGAATGTGTGTTCCTGGTGGTGGTGGAGGGAGGTGAATGTGTGTTCCTGGTGGTGGTGGAGGGAGGTGAATGTGTGTTCCTGGTGGTGGTGGAGGGAGGCGAGTGTGTGTTCCTGGTGGTGGTGGAGGGAGGCGAGTGTGTGTTCCTGGTGGTGGTGGAGGGAGGTGAGAGTGTGTTCCTGGCGGTGGTGGAGGGAGGTGAGAGTGTGTTCCTGTTGGTGGTGGAAGTGGGAGGCGAGCGTCGTGTTCCTGTTGGTGGTAGAGGGAGGCGAGTTTGGGTCCAGTGCTCGGTGTGTGCCCCAGCAGCTTCAGCAGCAGCTGCTTTGCTGAGATTGGCCCAGCATGGACTCATGGCAACAACGTCATCAGTAGAGGCAAGATGGTAACGGGCAGTGAAAGGACTCAAGTCTGGCCAACTGCTTCTTGCTGGTGTCGGTGTCTGAGTCAGGATGGAAAGGCCTGGATCCAGGCCCATGGCCAAGCACTTAAGAAGGACTCTAATGTTGAATGTTTACTTTTATTTCTTCATCTTCTGCTTTATGCCTAAGATTTTGTATCAAGATACCTTTTACTAAGATGGAGCTCAGAATGGTGACATTGTACGTTTTGCACTGTACTCCTGTATCCCTTTACTTGAGTACATGTCTCATTAAAAACTAATTCACTAATTGAATGAGAAATCCACTACAATACCCTTTTATAATCATATGTACTCCATTGTAGGCGTGCAGTGAAAAGCTTTTATAATGTCTGCCTCCTTATGGCAACATCTTAGATACAAGTACCTAGGTACAATTCATGGATACAACAGAGAAATAAAAGTAGTTGCTTACTTACAGAGTTAAAAAATAAGTTAAAAATTGAACAGCATTATCATCATTACAGCCCACATGCTGTACCAGGGCTCGCTGCTCGTGGTGTTCTGGGGCTCATAGCCTACATGCTAATCTGGGGACTTGCTCCTGGCACCTGCCGCTGTACCAGTATTCGCCTCCGGTGCTAAGGGGAGAGAGGAAGCAAAAACAGAGAGGAAATAAAAGGAAAAAGAAAGAAAAAGAACAGGCAGAGCAGAGGACTCTGGCAGGAGCATCCTACTCAACATGATCCATCTCCATACTTTTACCCACCTGGGCTTCACAGCGAGGATCCATCCAAGAAACTCAATACAACTCACAGTTAGCTAATAAAATGTAAGATTCAGCCTTTTGTCTCATATTCTGGACTGGAAAGATCAATAGCAACAGTGCAGCACTCCCTTTGTACTGCTCTGGAGTTTTGATCTAAATTTTGTGTTCAAGTTTCTGGAGTGGGAGTTGAACACTCAGCTTTATAACTCAGTTGTAGAACAGAGTGTTACCATTTGGATGACACCTGATATCAATCCAAAATGCACAGTGAGGGCAACATTATCTTTAAGAATGGGCAATAGGCAAAATGGTTTTGAGATACAAACTAGCTTAAGGAAACAAAAGAGGCCTCAGTATTTTAGATGAGGGATCTTTACCAAATGTAATTGGACATTCTGAGTCAGGTTTCATTCATTTAAAGTGGTTAAAGAATTGTAACTCGAATAAACTAATTCGAAAGCGGGAATATTTCCAGGGGAACCAAATTAAATAAATGCTAAAGTCAGAAAAATGCCAACATGTACACAATATTTGTTAAGATGGAATGATAGGTAGGTGGCCAATTCTTGATTGTTCCTTAAATTTTAAAAGCTAATTTGTCAATAGTGATGTATGTTCCCCACCATACCAAAAGAGAAATTAACTGTAGCCAAACAGAATTCCTATTGCTGACCCCTGTGACATTCCTAATTGCATTTCCGCTGTACGTCAGAAGCACAGCTGAAATATATAAATAAGTTGACCGTGCATAATAGTTCAAACACAGTCTGTTTTGGCGATGGTGAAAGCCACATCTGGATTGACCAGTGCCAAATGCTGCATCAGTCTCAGTGAGCGTTGGTGAGATCATCACCCATGAAGTCAGTCCTCTCTACATACATGTCTTTCAGGGAAATGTAACACCATAACAATCATGAGCAAAGGTACCGTTTAATAGAACCATAGAAACTTGGACATTCAGAGCAAGAGTAGGGCTTCAAGCCTGCTACTCCATTCAATATGATCATGGCTGTTCCTCTATCTCAGTGTCATATTCCTGACTTTATAATTTAATAATGTATCCATCTCTTTATTGAATATATTCAGTGACTTGGCCTCCAGCCTTCTTAGAGAATTCCAGTGGCTGACTACCCTTTGAATGAAGAAACTTTTTCTCATCTCAATTCTAAGTAGCCTACCCTATTTTCTGAGCTTGTGACCCATTGTTTTCAGACTCTGCAACCAACAAAACAGCCTCCTTGTACTTAGTCTGTCCAGCCTTGTTTGAAGTTTATTCATTTCAATCAGATCCTTTCTCATTCTTCTAAGCGCTAGTGACTGCAGGCCCGGTTGAACTAATCTCTCCTCATATGGCAGTCTTGCCTATCAGTTGAGTGAACCTCTCTTCAGTTCCCTTAATGACAAGTAGTAGGGAGACCAAAACTGCGTGCAATTGATAGATTTGTTATTTCCCCTCCCTCAGCACCAGCCAAATGAGATTAGTTAACTCTATAATAGGTTTGCTGAACAGGCAGCCTATAGGCCATAGTATGGCCCAATGAGGTGTTCTGTGAGGCCCATAATCCATACTTCAAAATACAGGGAAGTGAAACTGGAAGACTTTGAAAGGCACTGCTCCTCCAAGAGAGGCCAGTTCTTTTCCACATTTGCTACTGACGAGAGAAAAGTCTATTATTTGGAGGAGCAGAGTTTTGCAAAACCTGAATGATCTAACTCAGCTTGATGCCAGATGGACTAGAGAGCATTCAGGAAGACGCTGGCTTAGGGAGAAGGATAATGACAGGGACTGGGGCATCAACAGGGTCATGCAAGTTTGGCAGACCATCAGTTTAGGTTTGGTGGCAGGAGAACCAGGGGTTTGGGTGGGTTGATGGACAACTGACTGGGGGCTGTTGAATGGGTAAGTGAGTGAGGGACTAACTGGGGGCTGGGTGGGTAAGGGATTCAGCGATTAGCTGTCTGGGTGAGTTAGTATCTGACCAGCTGGGGCGATCAGATGGATGGGTGGGTGGGCGAGTGTGTGAGTGAGTGACTGGGAGCTCATTGAGTGGGTGAGTCTCTGACTGGCTGGAGCATCTCATTGGGTAAGTGACACATTGACTGACTGTGGGTTTGGATGGATGAGTGAGGTGTGGCTGTGTGTGAGTGAGTCACTGATTGGGGCTGGCTAGATGATTTGAGTGCGTGAAAGAATGACTGGGGGTTGGAGAGTAAGTGAGAGAGTGACTGGGAGGGGACTGAGCCAGACACACATTCAAATATTCCCCTCTCTTCCTCCTGCCCTGTCCTCTGCAATAAACTATCCACAAAGCAAGCTAATTGAGGAGGAAAATCCAACCTGGAAGACAGCACATTTTGGACTTGCCCTTTCATGTGTCAGCCACCACAGCTATTTTGCAATGTGCTCCACTAGAGATGAACTGAGATCAATATTAGTTAAATTCAGCATTGAATATACTTAAAGACCCAGCCTCTGCAACCTACTGTAGCCTTCTGCATTAAAGAATTCCACTAATTCACTATCCTCGGAGAGTAGAAATTCCTCCTCCTCAGTGTCTTAAACTTCTTATCTGAGATGACTCCCTCTGGTTCTCGACTCTCCCATAAGGTGAAAGAACCTTTCCGTATCTCCCCTGTCAAGCCCTGAAAGAATCTTGTATGTGTCAATAAGGTCTAATATCTAAACTCCAATGAGTACAGGCCCAACCTACTCAACCTCTCTTCAAAAGGCATCGTCTTCCATTCCCAGGAGCAAACTAGTGAACCTTCACTGGACTGCCTCCAAAGCTAATATATCCTTCCTTAGATAAAGGAACCAAAAATCATGCAACGTATTCTAGATGTGTTCTAACCAGTGTCTTGTATAGATTTAGCAAGACCTCCCTATTTTTATCCTCCATTCCCTTTAAAATAAATGCCAACATTCCACTCGCCTTCCCTATTACCTACTAAACTTTCCATCAGCTTTTTGTGATTTATGTACAACAACTTCCAAATCCTTCTGTACTGCAGCTTTCTGCAGTCTTTCTCCATTTAAGTAATATTCAGCTCCTCTCTTCTTCCTGCCAAACTGTGTAACTTCACATTTTCACACGTTATGTTCCATCTGCCATATGTTTGCCCATTCACTTGGCCTGTTTATATGCCTTTGCAGACTCTTTGTGTCATCCTTTCCATTTGTCATCTCATCTATTTTGTGTCATCCACAAACTTTGCAACAGTACATTCACAGTAAATATACTGATCCTTGTGGCATTCCACTAGCTACAGGTTGCCATCTTGAAATGCCGCCTTACCCCAATGCTCTGTTTTCTATTAGTTAACTAATCCTCTCTATCCGTGCTAATATATTACCTCCAAAACCATGGCCTCTTTCTTCTTAGCAAAACACACACCGTACATTACTTAACTTCTTTTGGAACACCTTGAACGAGAAAAAGATCATAATGCTTGAACAACCCTGCCCTATATAGTAACTAGATGTGAAACTCATATGGTTAAATCTCTAATTCCACATAAATTTAAACTAATTGTTTCACTTATTTTGATCTTTATAGAGCAACAGTGTTTTACATGGCATCACAATTATATAATAGGATAGTCAATTAGTGGGTCCTTTCTGATTGGTATGGTCTTGCTTCTTGTTCACTAAAAAGATGAAATGATGGTACTTACCCTGCTACATGCATTAGTACCATTGATGTTCTGAACCCTGGGAATGATTCCATACCTGTATTATTAAAATTCACTTTACCGTAACATTACTCAGCCTTTTTATGCAGCCAGTCCATCTCTGATTGATAAGAATTCTAGATGCTACAAGCCACTCAATTTGCAAAGTGGAAGACCCAAATATTTAGGGTAAGATAGATGCATTAATTTTAAGTGGGATGTAAATGCAATGTTTTCCATCATATTTCATTGATTTGCCGTTCTTAGTGACTCACCAATGCTGGTAGAAGTGACAAACAGTGTGTACATGTGTATCTTCAGCTGACCTTTTGTACCCATCTGTTTTGATGTTGAAAACATGATTTCAAAGAACACGATGTATAAAAACAAAAGACTGATCAGCGAAGTCTCTCACAGTGTTATGGTGCAACAACAGAAGCTTGACAGAGAACACCCGATATTGACACTAAAAGCTTTTCAAAATTGATTTTGAGGCTATTAATTTGAGATTACATGTTCCAAGATGAATTTATTTGCCAATTATTTATACTTTGTAGCATCATTTCACTGATCTAGAGTATGTGGGAACTTGATGTGTTGGCAATTTGCATAATTCAAGTATCTCAAGAGATTGCAGAAAAGAAATTTCCAGCTTGTCTTATCTATGAAAGGGGTTGTTTTCACATTTACGACAGATAAGACTGAAGACTGGCTTTGTGAACATTCTCTCAGGTGTAGAATGAAGAGCAAAATATGTTGTTACTTCTGGATATTGTACCTAGAAGCATGCATTTAACAATTATGCTTTCCTCTTTAATTCACCCTAAGAGTCCCTTTCCTCTATATTCTAACACCATTCTGTTTACATTTCTCCCACACTATATCCTTGAGTGTTTCAGAGCAAAATTAGTAGCAAATCCAGTGTAGTCTTCAACTACTGGCTGATGTCCTTGGAAATATATTATGAATAATTTGATGTTTGGATACCGGTGTTAAGATGGCAGCATCTACTTGTGGAGAAAGACAGAGGAGAGAATTGTAGAATGGTAACTGTGATATTGGGGAGCAGGACAGTGTTCAAGGGAGGATTGGAGCTGAGGCAGAATAAAGAGATTGTAGACATAGGGTATTCAAAAGTTAAGGGGCGTGGTGACATGACTGTTCATGATGGAGAATCCAGAAGGATATGTTGCCTACCTGGTGCTAAAGCAAATGACATCTAAGAGTAATTAGAGTGGAACTTGGAAAGCAAAGGGAAAGAACTACTATACAACCTATATACATATTGGAACATAGATGGGCAGACCAGGAAGTACAATAAATGTCTGAAAGATTGGCGTGAGAAGGAAGAGTTCCTTAGCAAGCGAAAATGATACCAAAGTAAAGATAAGAGGGATATGACATTCTGGGATAGCCATTCCCTGAACTCTAATTCATATCAATGAGCTAGATGTACTCAGGAAATCTCAAATATCAGGAACATAACTGGTAGGAAATAAAGTATTTTAAAAGAAGGGAATAATAATGGGGCATTAGAATTAGTTGTATTATTCAGAGACAACATAATGGCAACAGAAAAAAAGAGACATAACAAACAGAAAAATATAAAAGTATTCACGTTGAGTGAGGCGAAGTATAAGATGGTATTGATTATATTGGTAAGGATTTCTAGAGACTGCTAACTAATGGAGGAGAAGTAGTGTAAAGGGAGAAATACACAGGCAAACACGTGAAATCAGTAAAAAATATTGGGTGATAATCACAGAAAATTTCAACTGCCACCAAAGACATTGGCAAGAAGAATTAATGAAATAGAAAAGGGAAAGGAGTTTCTTTACCACATATAAAACTCATTTCTTGCCCAAAACATATGAAGTGCAACAAGAACAGATCAGCAGCTCAGAATCCTACCGTGACTAACTCAACTCTGACTCCCCAAAGTCTGCCTACCAGCTACAAGGCACAAGTCAGGAGTGTGACGGAATACTTCCCACTTGCCTGGATGAGTGCAGCTCCAACAATGCTGAAGAAGATTGACACCATCCAGGATGAAGTTTGATTGACACCACAACCATAAACATTCACTCTCTCCTCTGCCAATGCTCAGTAGCAGCAATGTGCACCATCTACAAGAACCACTGCAGAAATTCACCACAGTTCTTCAGACAGCACTATTCAAGCGCACAGCCATTACCATCCATAGGATAGTAGATACATGGGAAAATTACCACCTGCAAGATTCCCTCCAAGCCACTCACCATCCTGACTTAGAAATATATCATCGTTCCTTCAGTGTCATTGGGTCAAAATTTTGGAACCTGCTCCTTAATAGCTTTGTGAGTATACCTACACCAAATGGTCATTAGTGATTCAAGAAAGCAGCTTAATGCTACCCTCTCAAGGGCAACTATGGCTATGCAATAAATGCTGGCCCAGCCAGCGATGTCCACACTCCATGAGTGAATAAAATTGTCCAACAAAACAGTAATTGGATCTCGACTTGGGATGAAACAGAGTGGATATAAAAAGTAAACGTAGGGGAACATTTAGACATTAGCCATTGTAATATAATTGAAGTCCAAAATGATGACTGAGAAAGACATAAGAAGAATAAAAATTAATAAAAAGGAAAGTAACTAATTTCAAGAGGAAGAGAATGGAATTTGAGAAGATGGATTGGAAAAGAAATGACAGAACAGCAATGGGAACTATTTGAAATGAAGATCAGTAGCTTTCTGGGGGCATATATTTCTTTAAATAAATGATAACAATTAGCCCGTAATAAAACACCATCAATGAATAAAAAGATGAAAGCAAACTTTAAGTTAAAGGAGAAGGCATACATTGTTGAAAGAAGATACATGCTGTTCAAAGCTTTTCTTCTTGCAAGCATCTGGATATACACAAAAATACCAAATAACAAGTACACCAACAACAAAAAGCTGTTATTGACCAGACCAAACCCTACCAAAATATATTAAGAAGATAGCCTGGATCATAACTTTTTCTTATTTTAAAGGCAAAAATTATTAATAATTAACTTTTCCAATATAGTAACACACCATTGGCAATGGCAAATTCAGTAAAATAGATTGTCCCACATGCAATTCTAGCAGCAGGAAGAGGACCCCAGCTTTTAGCTGTAACAGAGAGAGGAATGAAAGCTTCCACATTCAGTTTCAAGACCCCAAAAACTGCAGAAACTAAAACTAAAAATTCCGGCTCAGTGGGAGCTTGTCCCCACCCATTCAAGCTGCTTCTGTTGTTCCAACTTTAAAAAAAAAACAAGGCCTCATCAGCTTTTACTTTATTGGTTTTTAGCAGACTGTTTGGTACCTTTGACTCAACCTTTCCCATAAAGAAACCAAAACAAAATACACCTCTTAAAGACATAGTATCATTACAAAATTTCAAAGGGAACAACAATTTATGATGCACGAGAAACAGCATACTGATTCATCAGAAAGTGAACTTCGATTGGTTGAGGCATTGCCATAGAAAATGCACGAGGCAACAGTTACCCCAAAGTTTTTATATGAGTTTAAAAAAAAAGTTGACTGTGAGTGGTGTAGAAATGCAATAGGGAATGCACCAGGGAATAATGTCCACCAACTTTGAATTCCACCACTTGTTGCACCTAAATGGAAAGTTTGTTTCTATAAGACTTTTCACAGAACTTTATTTGGGTGAGGGTGAGAGTTAGGGTTAAGATTGACCTCTCAATCCATGCTTCTTTTTTTCCTCTACACCTCCCCTCTCACTCTGGAAAGTTAATTTTTTGCAATAAACCCCATAAACCCTTGACCCTGCTCTTGCACTAAATTTCCACTTTGGACCAAATTACCAATAGTACACTCCCTACACTCTGAATTCTCTACACTCTGGTTATGCTCCTTACTGATTAAGTGAAAACTCCCCTTTCTGATATGACTCTAGCCAGAGTTACTTAGCTCCAGTGATCTATACCTTATTCAGATAAAGGAATTCAGATTCTTGAATTTTACCCACTTCAAGTAGGGAGCTGCCTCCTTTAAATATGCTATTTTGACTGATGTAAAGGCTATAGTCCAAATCTGACTTTAATTCTAAAATTGTATTTGGAACAGATCTAACAGTTGAGTTCCTACATCAAATCAAATTTCTAACAGTATACTCACTTGGCCTTTGTTTCACTCTGCTGAAGTCTTTTGCACACTGTGCGGTATAAGAGATCCCTTTCTTATAAGAATCTGCTCAGTCACATCTTAGCTACAAATGCTGGCTGGCAACACAGCTTTTCTTACAGAGGGATTGGTGAAGAAAACGAAAAGGTAATTAGAGGTATATACAGAAGAGAATCTGAGATGTTACAGGAGACCCTTCTCAGATTGCTTTCTGACTGTGTTGTGACTAGATCTCATGCTCATAGATTTAGACAGGAAGAGGGTGAATCTATTGAAAAGAAAGGGAGATGATGTGGAAAATCAATTGTTATCTGAAGCAGAAAGGATGAAGGTAAAAAAATGAGGCTACATCATCAGCTGTTCACTTTAATGGAAATGCATCAGATGCATCCTAAATTGAGAGAATTACACCAAACAGCCTTCCCAGAAATTGAATCACAACCAATAGCTGAGTATATTTATTTAAAAGGTAAAGTTTTAATAGGAAATGGTGACCACCTTATCTGAGTGTCATAAAGAAACTTTACAAGAGGTTCACAGAATTAAAATAGCAGGCCACTTGAGTATTAGGAAAAAGCAAGAAAAAACATTATTGTTGGCCAGCATATCATAAATATGTGGTGAAAATTTTCCAGGTATTCCATAAATATCAGATAGTGGAGTAGCCAAAATCATCAGTTAAATCTGTCTCTTTAATTATGTTCAGCCTTTGAAGAAGTATTTAACAGGGTCTTCATGGATTGTGGGGGACCCTTTTCATATAACAGGAGTGGGAATCGGTATCTTTTAACAATCATGCTTGTTTCAACATGACCCCTTGATGTAGCGCCTATGGGGAAAATTACAGCAAAAATTAAAGTGGAGAAGTTAGTGTTTTCAAAATAATATGGGCTTCCCAATTGTAGATCAAGGTTCAGATCTTATATGCAAATATTCAAACAAATAATGAATAGTTTGGCAATAAAAGAAT